AATGGCTTCATCACTGGAGGTTTTTAAGAAGAGATTGGACAACCATTTATCTGTAATGGTAAAGGACATCCTACCTGAGCAGGGAGTTGGACTAGACTCTAGATGACCTCCAAGGTTCCTTCCAACTCTGTTATTCTGTCATTCATTCATTCACTCACTCACTCACTCACTCACTCACCCATTCCACACCTTCTCATGGTGGTGCTTTTCAGCCTCAGCTAATGTTGGCGATGATGGAAGGATTCTTTTCCATTATGTTTCTTTTGGTCACAGGGCAGTATCCTGAGCTGTCCATTCTTCTTAGGCTGAGAAACCTTAATTAGAAGAATTTCTTCTCCTGGCTTGCTTTGGGATTGAATTGGACTGTGAGAAGACTCCTTGAAAGTGATTCTACAAGGAGAGTCTGGAGATTCCTATTCAGGCCTTTACACCCACTAATCAAAAAATTGGAAGACTGGCTCAGGAATTCTGGGAGTTGCACGAGTCATAAAAGAGCCAAGGTTGCCTACCCCTGGTCTACAGCAAAGGCAGAATTTTTGTTATGGTAATTGTTATTTACAAAATACTCCTTTTTCAGTTTAAGATAAGACTTAGTGACCATAAGTATGAGATCAGCTAATCTCTCAGGATCCTCTGGCCAATATTAGAACTCATTTTAACAGCAAGTTTTTCCTCTGGATAGTGTGACAGCAATCTTCCCATCTCTGACTTGTTTACTGGTGTGTTTGACTTTAGTTGAATGTCTTTTATCTGAGTAGTTTTTCTTCATGGGAGGAAGACAAAGAAGAATTGCTCATGATCTGGGCATAAAAACCCAAGAAAATTCTAGAAGCATCTAAGAATGGATAGAATAGAATAGAATAGAATAGAATAGAATAGAATAGGATAGGATAGGATAGGATAGGATAGGATAGGATAGGATAGGATAGGATAGAATAGAATAGAAAAGAGTAGAGTAGAGTAGAGTAGAGTAGAGTAGAGTAGAGTAGAGTAGAGTAGAGTAGAGTAGAGTAGAGTAGAGCAGAACAGAATAACAGAGTTTAAGGGACCTTGGAGGTTTTCTAATCAAAACCCCTGATCAGGCAGGAAACCCTATATGATTTCAGACAAATGGTTGTCCAATCTCTTCTTAAAAACTTCCAGTGTTGGAACATTCACAAATTATGGAGATAAGTTGTTCCACTGGTTATTTCTTCTGACTGTCAGGAAGTTTCTCCTTAGTTCTAGGTTGCTTCTCTCCTTGATTAGTTTCCATCTGTTGCTTCTTGTCCTGCCTTCAGGCACTTTGGGGAATAGCTTGACTCCCTTTTCTTTGTGGCAACCCCTGAGATATTGGAACTTTGCTATCATGTCACCCCTAGTCCTTCTTTTCATTAAACTAGATAAACCCAATTCCAGCAACCTGTTTATTTATTACAAATAATTAGTTCAACCCCTTGTCAGACTCGTGAACAGTTCTAGAGGCAGAAGTTGTGAGCGATTAAGGAATGTCCTGTCTACTACAGGGATCACACTTGCTAGAACAGCTAACAGAAAGAGCAAAAAATAACACTGCAATCTTTCCTTTTCCAGATGACTCTTTTCAAAGTACTTTTATATCAAATCTATGCTGAATTGTTGCAGGTACTATTCATTTGAGTGTCACACTGCTCATTAAGTAGGTTGTAACATAACAGGTCAGAGCTGAAGAAGCTTCTTGAACGAGAAGCGAAACATCTTCAAAGAAAAAAAAATAAGAAAGTCCAATTGCCTCATGAAAAAGCATCTTTGGGATAGGTAATAACATGAAGTGGCCCAATTTTACTACCTGTTTTGTGACAGTTGTTAAACAAATGCTTGATACCTGATAACTCTAATAATAGGAATTGGTGGCAATTTTACTGAAATGCATCTTGGAGATTTTGGGTCTCTAGTAAGTACAGCAATTCTCCAGCCTCATAAGTAGCATTGATTTTAGGGATGTAATTTCCATCAGATGATGAAAAAAAATACATATGTGTTGATATGATATCTGTAAGTGAAAAATAAGTTTGTGTGTGTGTCTGTATGTCTGGTGTGTCTGTGTGTAAGTGAAGTAATTATCTTTTTTTTTTTTTTTAAGTAGGGTGCATCCCCAAACTATTTTGGATACTCCTGAACTTTCAAGTGATCCAGAAAACGTCAACATTTCTTTCCGTATTATTGAAAATATGGAAACTGCTCTAAATACTTCTAAAATACCAGAAACGTCTTCTCTAGATAATCAGCTGGTTGATAATTTAACACGAAATTGTATCAATGGCTTCATTGCCCTTATTTGCATTTTGGGCCTGGTAGAATATCTCCTGGCCTTTTCCATTAAGAGGAATTCTTTCACCATTTAAATCCTGAATCTCTTCATTGCTGATTTTCGGGTCCTCGCATCCCTCATTATGGCAGCTATATTTGTGGGGGTGTCAACTTTTTATAAAGGAACTTACATAGTCCAAACTTTTTTCTTCTTGTTTTTGGAGCTCTTTTCCTTCACCTATTCTGCTAGCCAGTTTCTGATAATGGCCATCAGCCTGGACAGGTGTGTGGCTGTCCTCTTCCCACTCTGGCATCACTGCCATCATCTGTCATATCTCTCCACTCTTGTTTGTGCCCCATCTGGATCGTCTCCTTCTTGCTCTCTGCAGTGCACTTCATTCTCTACCAGACCAGAAGCCCTGGAAGATCACCTTTCCTTTATCAGCTGATTGTGAATGGTTTATTTTGTACACCTCTCATGGTTTTGTCTACTGTGAGCCTCTGGATTCACATGAGGTCTAAATCGCAACGCAATCAAAGGAAGCTCCTCACCACCATCTTGCTGGCTCTCCTCTTCTTCCTCCTTTTTTCTCTCCCAAGGTATGCCTCATATGTCATTTATTATTTCAGTTTCCCTCATCCTGTCCTCTTGACAATTGGAATAGGAAGTGCTACTCGCAAGGGCAGCATCAACCCCCTCCTTTATTTCTTAGTGGGGAGGAAGCAGAGGGGAAAGAGTGAGCCCAGAACATCTTTGAAGGTAGCTCTTCAAATAGTCTTCAAGGATGAGCAGCAGGGCAGCCTGGAGGAACAGCAAGTTGCAAAGGAAGAACTTTCGTGAAGTCTTACTATCACTGTAATTCAAATTTGATAGCCATAAATAATATGTGCATTCAATAAAAAGAAAATTTATTGAACAAAGTAGCTAATGCCAAACAATAAAAAGGAAATACTGCTGTATTCTTAATTTTCAAAGTGAAATGTTTGTACAGAAAGTGTCTGACTTCATATATCTTTTTTATTTCATCACATGAAATTACGTCTCACTTCATGTAATTCTTTATTTCATAGCATCAAATGATATGTCTGACGTCATACAATTCTTCTTTATATCATAACAACTCCTATTAATGCATGTTGTTTTTAATTTAATTTTTCTCATTTTATGTATGTTTATTTCCTATATAATTGCAAAGGTTTTGTCCCTAAAATACTTGATAGAAGAATATACAGCTTCGCTAATTTGTATACATAATAAAAGGAAAGAGCAGAAAAAAATATGTACAGGATACATTTCCTGAAATAAAATATGACAGTTTTGATCCTCACACATTTCAGAGATAAAATTCACTGACATTATAGCCTGGGGATTTGTAATTTTTCCTGTGGCCCCATTTCTCTTCTGTTGCTCCCAAGAAATGGAATATACTTGAAAACTGCCTCTCTTGCGCTTTCCCTTTTTAGTAAGAGGCTAAAGCTTCACCATTAATTACTGAATTTCAACTGGTTTCTAATTGATTCTAGTTTAATTTTCCTCACTGTTGCTTCATTTCACAAATTAATTTCCTTTAAGTGACATCTGGAAGTAGCAGGCATGGTTGGTGCTTATCTAGAAATAAAAATCTCATTTCTAGAAAGCAAAATAAGCTGAGTATTTTATAAATGTCATGCAGTTCATTTCCTGCATAGCATTAGTTGGGTACTGATGTAGGCATCTCTTGATATGCAGTTCTCTGTATGTCAGATGACAGAGTCAATGTGTGGAAAGAGATTTGTCCCCACCTATAAGATTCCAGCCTCAAGTGCGACTTATTCATTGCTACAGAGAAAGTAGCACAAAGACCTTGTGGGAGGATTTGACCTCTTCTATCTCCCTCTTGCAACTTCACCTTCTTTGAAGATGTTTTGCAAAATGACCTTAATGCTCTCCTTGCACAGAGCTCCTTTTTTCCTCCCAACTAGAAAATAGATCACTGGATTAATGCTGCTATTTAGACAAGAAAGCAGTAGACTCCATAATGCCAAATCTTCCACTTTATTCTCAGCTTCAAATCTAGAAAAACTAAGAATCACTGCAATAACAGATAATGGAAAAGCAAAGATGAGGAAACAGAGAAGAGTGATTAAAATGATCAGTAAAAGCCGACCCTGATTCTTCTGATTCGATTTAAGACATACTTTGATGAAAAGGACCACAGTAGAGAGAGTGATCAGCGGAAGGCAAACTATAGCAGTCACAAGGAAATGAAGACTGGAGAGTTTGTCATTTACAATGACTTTTGTGACCATCATCATGTCCACAGTTCCAACAAGGAGGAAAGAGGCGATCCATAGAAAGACACAGACAGCTGGGGACAAATGTTTTGGCCGGGAACAGCGATGCCAGATTGGGAAGAGGACAGCCACACACCGGTCAATGCTGATGGCCGTCATAAGAAAGTGAGCATTGACGTACATCATGTTGGAGAAAGAGAAAAAGATGAAGCTGAAAATGCTTCCTAGAAAGTCTATAAATGTATTGATAAAATATATAACTACACATGTGAGGAACCCAAAGTCTGCAATGGCCAAGTTAAGGATGAATGTGATGAAACAATTTCTCTTCATCTGGAAGCCAAGTAGCCAGATGATGTAGCCATTGCCCACAAATCCAACACAGCAGACCATTAAAGTAATCCCTCTCCAAAGAATCACTTCTACATCAGAAAAGGTGAGCTGTTCTGTGAACTCACTGGAATCATTATATCCATAATAATTCTCTGTAGCATGCAGATCTCCCAGGCTGGAATTCATCATTAAACTTTTGTAATCCTCTGGTTATCTTTCTGAGGGGAAGAAAATAAAGAAGAGTGGATTCAGTCATTCCTGTCTCCTAAATAACATCAATATTGTGGCCACATGGTGCTCTCTCAGCTTACTTGTTTTCTTGCAGATTTTTCATTATTCAAACTAGGTAACATCCTCAGTGCTAGCCCTAGCACAGTGCTAGCCCTGATGATGTTACCTAGTTTGGTAAAGAGATGGCTTAAAAAGCAAGCTCAGAGAGTACCAAGGACCCCTCATTTCAACCCTAAGCTACAAATATTCTCCTTTATTGGTACCAGTATTGCCATAGCTTCTATTAGAAGGGGTCCACCTATTCTCCAAGGCACCTTAGGGCAGAACAAGAAGTAATGGATAGAAACTTATTAAGGAGGGATCCAACTTGGAACTAAGGAGAAATTCCCTGACAGTTAGTGCAATTAATCAGTGGAACAACTTGCCTTCAGAAGCTGTGGATGCTTCAACAATGGAGGTCTTTGAGAAGAGATTGGACAACCATTTATCTGAAATGGTGTCTCTTCTTAAAAAGCTCCAGTGATGGAGCACCCCCAGCTTCTGAAGGCAAGCTTTTCCCCTGATTAATTCTTATTCTGATCTCTCCTTGATTAGTTAAATATAGAAGATTTCTCTCTCTCTATTGATATATAAATATATATTGATATAATGATATCAATTTATAATTCCTTGATAAGACCACACTTGGAATATTGCATCCAGTTTTGGTTGCCATGATATAAAAAAAATGTTAAGAGTCTGGAAAAACTGTAGAGAAGAGCAACAAAAATGATGAGGGGCTAAATCATAGGAACAATGGTTGCTGCAGTTGGGTAGGTCTTGTTTAATGAAAAGAATGACTAGGGATGACATGATAGCAGAGTTACAATATCTAAGGAGCTGCCATAAAGAAGAGGGAGTCAACCTAAGCACCTGAATGCAGGACAATGGATGGAAACTAATCAAGGGGAGAACCAGCCTAGACCTAAGGAGAAATTTCCTGACAGAACAATTAGCCAGTGGAACAAGCTGCCTCCAGAAGTTCTGAATGCTCCAACAGTGGAACTTTTGAAGAAGAGATTGGATAACCATTTGTCTGAAAGAGTGTAGGGTTTCCTGCCTGAGCAGCGGATGGGACTAGAAGACCTCCAAGGCTCCTGCTTATTCTGTTATCAATCAATAGTAAATAATAATAATAATAATAATAATAATAATAATAATAATAATAATAATAACTTGACGTGGTTGTGGGGCTTGTGTACCCTGAGGAAGATGAGAGCTATGCCAGAGGTTCAACCATACTGGACAGGTCTCATCAGAGGAGTCAGACAAAGAGTGTCTCTCCCATAAAAAATATGGTGAGACGTAAATTGCAGAATGCCATACCGGCTCGGACGTCACCCGGGTTAACAAGGTCTGCGCTAGATATTGGAGTTCCTAGATATCTGGTGAAAAATGGGTTACAGGACTCAGGACTGTTGGCTGAGCAACCAGGGCCAGCAGCTGCAGAACTACTGGAAGAAAAAGTGTTTTCCCGTCGCAGATACACAGTGATGGAAAACAAAGAAATAATGATCTGTTACTACAGATCAAGTCCAACAAGAAGAGGATATCTAAAACGAACGCACCTGTTCTGGAAAGAACAACATCCAGAATCAGAAATAACAGAACAGAGACTAGCAGATCAACGCCGATTTATAATACGAAATAAAGTATTCACAGAAACAGAATTAGACGAACTGCAAAGGTTTACCCAGGGCAAAGAAATCAAAGCCTTACCAGAAGTAATTCAGAATGTAGAGGCAAACCAGGGGGAGTTGGCAGTGAAGGAATCCAGCAGAGATATACAACTGTTCTCATTTGGAAACCAGGCACCTCTACCTCAGGAAGAACAAAACCCTCTAACTAAAGAAATAAAAGAATTGAAACAAAGAATAACTGAGCATCTAGAACAGCACAAAAACAACAGAATAAGGCTACCTGCATTGAAGCTTGTTCCAAAGAAACAGCTAGCAGAAGCATTAAAAGATGCAAATACTGCAATATCAAGTATAAGCACCAATTCACTGCAAGAAACAAACCAACTAATGTACAGCACAGCTGCAGTTATAACTGAATACCTGGGATGCAAAATCAACAAAGAAGAAAAACAAACAAACAGTGCACCAGAAAAATGGAAGGTTAGACTAGAAAATAAGATCAGCAAGTTAAGATCACATGCAAGCAAGCTAGAACAGATGAAAGAAAAGAAGCTGAAGAACAAGAAGACCAAAGAATACCTAATCAAGAAATACCACTTAGAAACAAGGAAGATCAAAGAAGCACTGGAAATAATAAAGCAACAAATAACAGCTATAGCCAGGAAAATCAGTAGATATGAAGCTTGAATTGCAAACTATAGGCAGAACCTCCAATTTCAGTCCAATCAGAAACATTTCTACCAATCCATCAATGGAGAAACTGCAAGGAATCAGTCAGTACCTGACAAGGAAGAAACAGTGCAGTTCTGGAAGCAGATATGGGATAACCCAAAGAAATACAACAAGGATGCGGCTTGGTTAAAAGAGGTGGATGCAATAAAACAGAAGTTGAAATGAAAGAACTAGTAATAACAACAAAAATGGTAGAAAAAAGAGCAAAGAAAATCAAAAATTGGTCAGCACCAGGTGAAGATGAACTGCATGGGTTTTGGTTGAAACATCTAACTGTTATACACCCACTCATTTCCAAGCAGTTCAACAATATACTACAAGGAGGAGAAATTGAAAAGTGGCTAACAACTGGGAAAACCTACCTAATAATAAAAAATTCAGCAAAAGGGGCAACACCAGGCAACTACAGGCCAATTACCTGTTTACCAACAACTTCAAATTACTAACTGGTGTGGTAGCTGATGCAGTACAACAGCATCTAGTTGAAAACAATCTCTTTCCACCTGAGCAGAAAGGAAACCGCCCCAATAGCAGAGGAACAAAAAATCAACTCCTAATAGACAAAATGATCTTGGAAAACTGCAAGAGAAGGAAGACCAACCTGAATGTGGCATGGATTGACTACAAAAAGGCATTTGACTCTCTGCCACATGATTGAATAATAAAGTGCCTAGAAATAACAGGACTCAATAGAAACATCAGAAAAGTTGTGCAAAGATTGATGGCACAATGGAAGACACAGTTGCAGATCAATGGTGAGAAGCTGGGAGAGGTTAATATCAAGAGAGGAATATTTCAAGGAGATTCATTATCACCATTACTATTTGTCATTGCACTGTTTCCTCTGTCAACAATACTGAATAACTCAGGACATGGCTATCAAACATCAAAAACATCTGCCAGACTATCCCACCTCCTTTACATGGATGATCTGAAGCTGTATGGAAAAACATCATCTGAAATAGAATCGCTGCTCAACACTGTCCGTATATATAGCCAAGATATTGTAATGGAGTTTGGCTTGGACAAATGTGCCACACTTACTATCAAACAAGGAAAAATAGTGAAAACTGAAGGAATCAAGATGCCCCACGAAAATAACATTAAGAGTCTGGATGAGGAAGAGTACTACAAATACTTGGGTATCCTTCAAGCTGACAACATCAAGCACACTGAAGTCAAGAAAAAGATTAGAGGTGAATACATCAAGAGAGTGAAGAAGATCTTAAAATCCAAACTCAATGGAGGAAATACCATAAAGGCAATCAACACCTGGGCAATCCCAGTCATTAGGTACACAGCTGGAATAGTGGACTGGACTCAAGCAGAACTAAAAGCAATGGATAGGCAGACCAGAAAAATAATGACAATGAATCATGCCCTTCATCCACGCAGTGACATTGATAGACTTTATCTACCAAGGCAAATGGGTGGGCGTGGAATGCTACAAGTACATCAGATGGTTGAAGAAGAAAAAATGGCTTTGGAAGAATATCTGAAGAACAATGATGAAGATGCACTGAAATTAGTATATCAGGAAGGCTTACTAACTACTGGAGAGACCAAACTGGCCTACAAGAAAGACCAAATGAAGAACAGAATAGAGGCATGGCCAATACATGTAAAAAATAGCTGGGAAAGCAGATAATAATAAAACCTGGCAATGGCTAAGAGCAGGAAAATTGAAGAAAGAAACCGAGGCACTAATTCTGGCTGCACAAAACCAAGACTTAAGGACAAATGCATACAAAGTCAAAATTGAGAAGACAGCAACAGACAGTAAGTGCCGCCTATGCAAAGAAGCTGAAGAAACAGTGGACCACATGGTAAGCTGTTGCAAGAAGATTGCACAGACTAATTACAAGCAGCAGCATGACAAAGTAGCAACAATGGTGCATTGGAAGATCTGCAAAAAATATCATTTGCCTGTAAGCAAAAACTGGTGGGATCATAAAATAGAGAAAGTCATAGAAAATGATAAAATTAAACTGCTCTGGGACTTCAGAATTCAAACAGACAAGCACCTGCAACATAACACTCCAGACTTAACAATTGTCGATAAGAAAGACAAAAAAGTCTGGATAGTGGACGTGGCAGTGCCTGGAGACAGCAGAATAGACGAGAAAGAACTGGAGAAGATAACAAAATACAAAGACCTACAAATAGAAATAGAAAGACTGTGGCAAAAGCAAGCAAGGGTAGTACCAATAGTCATAGGCTCCTTGGGTGCAATCCCAAAACAACTGGAGCACCACTTGAACACCATTGGCATTGACAAATTCGCTATTAGTCAATTGCAAAAGGCGGCCTTATTAGGAACTGCTTCCATCCTGCGACAATATCTGTAATACCATCAAACATCCACATCTGCCTATCCCAGGTCCTGGGTAAGGACTCGATAGGTAGATAAAATGCCAAATCCAGTCTGAACATCTGCCTGACTATGCGATGATCAATAATAATAATAATAAAGTTGGAAGGGACCTTGGAGGTCATCGAGTCAAACCCGCTGCTCAGGCAGGAAACCCTACACCATTTTGGACAGATGGCTGTCCAGTATCTTCTTAAAAACTTATAGTGTTGGAGCATTCACCGCTTCTGGAGGCAGGTTGTTCCACTGGTTAATTGTTCTAACTGTCAGGAAGTTTCTCCTTAGTTCTAGGTTGCTTCTCTCCTTGATTAGTTTCCATCCGTTGCCTCTTGTCCTGCCCTCAGGTGCTTTGGAGAATAGCTTGACTCCCTCTTCTTTGGGGTAGCCCCTGAGATATTGGATATGGGATTAAACGTTCAGTTTAATCCCATAATGTATGGACACCAATGGGATAGCATTGGCATTCACAAAATCACTATCAATGAGTTGCAAAAGGCTGCTTTACTTGGAACAGTTTACATCCTTTGATGATACATTTAACACTATCAAACAGCAATATTTGCCCATCCCAGATCAATGCCAAATTCAATCACAACATCTGACTGTTTATGCAACCAACTAAAGTTTGTTAAACTTGTTTGCTATCCAACTCTCAATGACCCTGGGCACATACAACATTCAAAGATTAAAAAAAACAATAAAATCAATTAAAAATATATCCTACTAACCACTAGGGAAATAAATGCTTCTACTATCCACAAAAAGTGTTTTTTATGCCTAATTTTAATGCTTTCAAGATATTTTTTGATTAAATATTTGTTGTGATAAGGAATTGCATTGAAGCTCCACACCTCTTTTCTGTTGAGTCCTTAGCCTTAACTGAGGCTGGCTGTCCCCAGAGGGCTATTAATATACCCCTTGCAGATATTCTAGTTATTTTATCCCAGCTGAAGACTGCAAAGAATATAAAACAGGACCGAAATAGCAGAGCAAACACATCCACTTAGATTGAAAGACATTTGCTTCTAGTTGAAGTTCTTCCTGTGTAAATCTATGGAGGTCCCTATCTCTCCCTTTCTTTATAATTCATAAAAAAGAAATTCTTCAGATTAACTTATCAAAATTTACTCAGGGAGGATTCAGATCTCTGGAAATAGTTCATCATTGTACAATTTCAATTACATCTTATCATGATTAAAGGTTAGCATTTAAATAAGTAGTTGTTCAATGTCTGAATTACAACACAATCACTAAAACTACTTCATAGGGACAGCCACTTACCTGAAATGGTATAGAGTCTTCTGCTTGAGCAGGGGGTTAGACTAGAAGACCTCCAAGATCGCACCCTGCTCTATTCTGATTGACTTTGCAGTCCTGGATCTACGGAGTTTGTGCAAAATTTATAAGTAGTTTGATGTGAAAAATCAAGAGCAGAAAATACTAGTTAAGCAGACAGATATTATTGCATTGGTCTAAGATCTACCAAATGTCTTACCTTTCTGAAACATTTGGTCCAAGTTCTTCAGATCTGAAGAGAAGAAGATTACTATATCATGTAATTGACTGCTACAGTGACTGACAATGGCCAAAGCAGAATAAGATGTAGAGAAAATATGACAAGTTTTAAGCCTTGTTTGACATACGTCAAGGAGAACCTGTCAAATATGTTGTTGAACAATTTACAGGATTAAATGTTGGACAATCAGACAGTTGTAAGCAGATCTTTTCAAGAAAGTATTCTTTCTGTTCTTGGATGAGGAAGCAGATCTTGCTAAAAGTCTCACACAACTTCTCTCTATATATTTTGTGTCTTGCCTAATCAGTGTGAACATCAAATGATAAGAAGCTCTGGTTCCTGTTTTTACGGGCTAATCTTCAGCCGTAGAAGGAGGGTACTGCCCATAAATGTAGGAAGCTCTTACAAAAAGGAAAAAAAAAATGTTTATTTGAACTGGACTGGTCTTCTCATCTGAGAAGTTTTATCGTAAACCTCTGCTCCTACATCTCTGATTTTCGTCCTAAAGATTGAAAAAAGGGCTAAAACCAGGAAAAAAAATCAATTGAGACTTATGGGATTATCAGGATATAAATATGGAATGTTTTAATATGAAATATCAAATACAGAAATACATAGCTACTAGAAAAACATTTATCATTATACTTGATTTCCCTGGGACAGATTAATTGTTCCAAAATCATGACACATCGGAAAGTAATGGACCAAGCTCTTCAAAGTTGGAGAGTGGAAGATTATTGTCCTGATATTGAAGGTTGAAGTGATTGGCAATGGCAGATCTGTAGAAAAAATGTGATAAAGTTTTATTTAGATGAAGTTCAGACTATTCATTGACAAGAAGGAAAGCCCACTCACCCATCACGAGTGACAATGTTCAAAGAACTGACTGTAGAATTTGATATATGTAGAAGTAGAGACTGAGGAGAACTCTTCAGAGGTGTTTTTATAAAAAGCAAAGGATTGAATGTCATCACAGCAAGTGGGGAACAATCTTTTACAGAAAACATGGAGCACTTTCTCTTCTAGCTTGAAAAAGATAATCTAAAAGATACACACACACCACACACACACACACACACACACACACACACACACACACTGTGCCTTGCCTAATTAGAACTTACCACTATATGACACCAGGATGTTGTAACTGTTTTCTTAAGAAAATCATGATTAATCATATAATCATGCAACAGTCAACAAACAGTCAACAAAGATTTGTCAACATTTACCCAGGAATTGAGAGAGTAAAAATCCCTGGAAATAGTGGTTGAGGTTATCGCTATACAATTTCAATTACATCTTATCATGCTTAAAAGTTAACATGTCAATAGGCAGTTGTTCAGTGTCTGAAGTACACCAAAATCACTAAAGACATTTCATATGTTAAATTTGCGTTTCTCAGAACTATCAACAATGATCCATTACACTTTCTCCATTCTCATAATTCCAAATCCATGAGATAATCATAACCTCTCCACCTTACCAATAAAAATGAGACTAGAAGATTTTGACATGAAAAATCAGATACAGAAATTACTAATTAAATGCACATACATTAGTCTAATTGTACATGGCTAAGTTAGTTTAGATCTGCCAAACATCTTACCTATTTGAGATCTATGATTAATTACATTTCCAGAATTCTCATAATATTAAAAAATTATTGTCTGGGTATTGAGGGCTGAAGTCAGTGGTGGGATTCAAATACCTGAACAATTGGTTCTCTGCATGGGCACCATTTCCGGAAGTCTGTTCTGAATCGGGGAGGCCTCCCAGGCCCAGAGCGCCCCACTGGAAGTGAGTCCACACCACTTCCGGAAGTCCGTTCTGAGCCGGGGAAGCCTACCAGACCCAGAAGGGTCCACCAGAAGTGGCATGGATGCACTTCCGGGGGGTCATTCTGGGCCTGGGAGGCCTCCCCAGCTTAGAATGGATTTCCAAAAGTGGCATCCATGCGCTTCCGGCAGTCCGTCTGAGCCTTGTGAAAAAGGGTAAGGCATCAGCCAGTTCGCTGAAGTCAACAAAAATAGAATCAAAATCACATGAAATATTAGTACCACTTTATAAAGCCTTAGCTAGACCACACATAAAACACTGTATCCAGTTTTGGTCACCCCATTATAAAAAACTTTGGAAAAAGTACAAAGAAGAACAACTAAGACGATTAAAGGCCTGGAGACTAAAAGATAGGGAGAATGCTGCAGGAACTGGGTATGGCTAGTTTAGAGAAAAGAAGGACTGGGGGGGGGGACATGATGGCACTATTCCAGTATTTGAGAGGCTGCCACAAAGAACAGGGGGTGTCAACTTATTTTCCAAAGCACCAGAGGCAAGATAAGAAGCAATGGATGGAAACTAATCAAGGAGAGAAGCAACCTGGAATTAAGGAGAAACTTCCTAGCAAAGTATCAGTGGAACAGCTTGCCTTCAAAAGTTGTAGGTGCTTCATCACTGGAGGCTTTCAAAAAGAGACTGGACAGCCACCTGTCTGAAATGGTATAGGATCTCGTTCTTGAGCAAGGGGTTGGACTAGAAGACCTCCAAGTTCCCTTTTTAGCTCTATTCTGATTAGGTGTTGAGTATTTATGTTCTGTAAGAGAATTTTAAGAAAAATATGTGATTGGAGGCCCAGATGCATTTCTGAAAGTGAAGGAAGGGTGGGAAGAAAAGTTTCCTTTTCAAAATTACTATATATTTTATATATTTTGAATTAATTATTAGTTAAATAGTTCTGGGGAGGAAACCTTAAGGAGCCCCATAGATCCTGATTATTGGCCTATGATCATTATATACACAAAGACCCACAGACATAAACATGCACGCATTTAAATATGGAAGAAGTTTCTAACACACATTAGCATTTTTGCTGCCTGGTGTTATTGATCATAATCATGACTTACTATAATTGCTTCCTCTCTAAAGAATATCTCCATGACAATCATCGCGCTTCCCACACCCCTCATTTTGGATATGCACATTACAACATGTAAGTGTAATATAGTACAAAATATTTTCTTTGTGTAGGAGTCGGATAAGAGAAAGGGGTTCCTGTCAGCAGCTCATTCCCCAGGTCAGAATGATTACTAAACTTCCATTTAAAGCATGTATGAAGGTGGCAGAGTCTTACAAACCTAACATTCTGAAATGGTGGAGTAGAACTCAGATAAATAAGATCTCCAAAGATGCAAATGTTATTGACCTAGACTTAGTTATGTATATTATGAAGCATCAAACAGACATGAGAGTTTTAGCATTGTATAGATAGAGTTGGAAAGTGAAAGAACAAAACAGAAACCGAACAGAAACTAGAAGAGATGAAATTCATTTCAGTCCATTAGAATCCCAGAAAAAAGAAAAGAGGAGAAGAATGAATTGCAAAGTAACCATAAAACCCTGAACCCTAATACTTTCTCTCCTGTCCTATTCAAGGATGGAGAAGTAGTCCTTAGGGAGTCCTCAACCTCAAATTTCTGGATCACTCTTAGAACTGTACTTGTTTTCAAACCAGAAGTCTACTGGTTTGCAAATATATTTCTCCTAGATATGGAGGTTGGAGAAATTGTGAGGTAGAATTACATCATTGCTCCTGTTATCTTTCCTTTAGTACAATCCATGTAATCAGAAGAATAACTGAACTTTGATGGTCTTTGTTTGGAATCTATGGCACGTTCTTGACCACATGACCACATTGTCATATATACGGTCTACGTATAGGCCCACAAGCTCTTTTTCCCTTAAATGGGAAAAAAGATCAGCAACCTGATGTTCTTCAGAACTTTTGATTGTAACATCCTTTAACCTTAGGTTAGTAGGCACTGGCAAAAGAAGGACATGTCCTATTTTCCCCTACATTTCTTCACTCTGGCACACATAAGTCTCTTGATATTTGAGTATCTAAGTAGGTTTTCACTGGGCTGTTTGTGGTTCAATCACTACCAAAGTTTGCCCAAATTGATATTCATTGTGTGGATTACACTAACCATCTCATCCTCTGTCTATGGAGATTCTCAGTCATCCAGGTCAGAGTTATTCCAAAGATGCTTTTTCACGAGGCAACTGAACTTTCTTGTTTTTCTTTGAAAACGTTTAGCTTCTCATCCAAGAAGCTTCTTCAGCATTCCAGATCTTCAGCAATACTGAAGAATTTTCTTGGATGAGAAGCAAAACGTCTTCAAAGAAAAACGAGAAAGTCCAGCATCTTTGGGATCTCATCCTCTGTCCTCCCCTTCTCCTTTGGCCTTCTGACTTTCCCAACATCTGAGTCTTTTCCAAAGAGTCCTCTCTTTTCTTTTGGTGGCCAAAGTATCTGAGCTTCAGCTTCAGTATCTGTCCTTCCAAAGAACATTCAGGGTTGATTTCCTTTAGGATTGACTGATTTGACCTCCTTGTACTTCAAGAGACTTTCAAGAATCTTCTCCAGCACCACAATTTGAAACCATTGATCCTTTGGCACTCAGCCTTCCTTATGGTCCAACTCTCCCAACCATCAAATGCAATTAGCATTTATTAGAGTTAACAAGCTCGGGTTGATATACTGACAAGACCTTTATCAGTTACACATTGAAGACTAACTGCTAGTGCTAGCACGGTCCTTTCAATGTACATTTGCTGCTGTGTGCCTGCATTCATACTGGTAACCCCCTCCAAAGAATGTAAAGGCAAACATTAAATATTGTGTCTTCCATTCCGCCCATGTTAGTTTTCCTTTCCTATTTTTGGGGTTGTCCTTTGCTTGTTCAGATATAGGATAACCCTACTGTGGCCTCAGCCAGAATGTCTAATAATGGGAATTGGTGGCAATTTTACTGAAATGCATCTTGAACATTTTGGGGTGAAAAGCTGTATTGAGTATAGTAATTCTCCAGCCTCATAAGTAGCAGTGATTTTAGGGCTGTAATTTCCATCAGATGGTGAAAAAATATATATGTGTTGATATGATATGTGGAAGTGAAACATAAATGTGTGCGTACATGTGTGTTTGGGGGGGTGTTTGTATGTGTGTCTGTATAAGAGAACTGATTCTCTTTTCCTTTTTTTAAAGCAGGAAGCATTCAAATATTATTTTGAATACTTCTGAACTTTCAAGGAGTGATCCAGAAAATGACAGCACTTCTTTCCATATTATTGAATGGGTGGAAACTGCTCTGAATACTTCTGAAATATCAGAAATGTCTTTTCCAGATAATCCAGATAATTTAACACAAAATCTTATCAATGGTTTCATTGCCCTTATTTGCATTTTAGCCCTGATAGGAAATGGAAGAACCATTTATCTCTTGGCCTTTTCCATTAAGAGGAATTCTTACATCCTGAATCTCTCCATCGCTGATTTTGGGATCTTCACATCCCTCATTGTGGCAGCTATGTTTGTGGGGGTGTCAACTGTTCATAAAAGAACTTATATTGTCCAACCCTTTTTCTTCTTCTTCTTCTTTTTTTTTAGTTCTTTTCCTTCACCTATTTCTGCTAGCCAGTTTCTGCTGACGGCCATCAGCCTGGACAGGTCTGTGGCTGCCTTCCTCCCACTCTGGCATCACTGCCATCGTCGCCATATCTCTCCACTCTTGTTTGTGACCTCTCTATAACTCTGCTTAAGGAGCAATTTAATATGTTAATAGCAGATCAGATGGCAACTAATTTGAGGTATATGAAACATAACACATTTTGTAATGCAAATAAACCTGGTAGATGGTTGGCTTATCAATTATGTAAGAAACAAAAATCGAGGACTATAGATAAAATAATTTATAAAGGTAAAGAAGTGTAACAACAAAAATTGCTTAAAAGGTCTTTTTTAGATTTTTATTCAAAGTTATATGCTAGTGAAACTATACAAATTTCAGACATAGAAAAATATTTACAGGAAGCACATTTTCCTAGACTTACGAGTGACCAACGTGATGGGATTAATGGTTTAATTACTTCTGAAGAGATTTTTTCTGCAATTGAACAATTGAAGCTGGGCAAGACTCCAGGTACTGATGGACTATCAGCAATTTATTATAAGATGCTATCTGAAGAAATGATAGAACCATTAAAGGAAATTTTTAATGACATTCTGTCGGGAGCAGAGCTACCTCCATCTTGGAGAAGGGCCTTCATATCATTGATTCCAGAGGAAGACCAGGATCTGTCCCAACCTAGAAATTATAGGCCTATATCTCTTTTAAATACAGATTATAAGATTTTTGCAAAGATACTGGCAAATAGATTAATGCAGGTTTTGAAACAATTGATTCATACTGATCAATCTGGATTTATAATGGGAAGATAATTGAAAAATAATGTAAGACAAATTGTTAATTTAATAGAGTATTTGGATAAGAACAACTAAATCCCTGCTGCTTTAATATTTATAGATGCTGAGAAAGCTTTTGATCAGTTGGATTGGAAATTTTTATTGAAAGTTGTAGAGGAAATGAACTTTGGAGATAAACTTTTGTGTGCTCTCAAGGCCATATATCAGCAACAATCGGCACAAATTATAATTAATGGGGGATTAATAGATGTATTTAAAATAGAAAAAGGTACGAGAAGGGTTGTCCCTTATCCCCCTTGCTATTTGTATTAACAATGGGGATTTTACTTATTAAAATTCGAGATTCATCTAGATTAAAAGGAATAAAAATAAGTAAGATTGACTATAGGCTGAGAGCTTTTGCTGATGATTTGGTTGTGACATTATCCTATCCAACAGATTCGGTCAAAGATTTGGTTGAAATTTTAGGACAGTACGGACAGGTCTCTGGTTTTAAGGTGAACAAGAATAAAAATAAAATATTATTGAAAAAAATATGTCTACGAAGGGAAAAAATATTATAGTTGAAGCAACAGGTTATGAAGTAGTTAATAAGGTTAAGTATTTGGGAATATATATTACAACATCTAATGGAAAATTGTATAAGAATAATTATGAACGCTTATGGGTAAAAGTACAAAAAGATTTAAATGATTGGCAAAAATTACAACTATCATTACTGGGGAGAATCTCAGTACTAAAGATGAATGTTCTACCAAAGTTTCTCTTTTTGTTTCAGATGATACCTATTTTAAAAAAGAATGCTAATTTGGATGAGTGGCAGAAGGGTATCAATAAATTTATTTGGGGTGGGAAGAAATCAAGGATAAAGTTTAAGATTTACAAGATGCTCGAGAAAGAGGTGGACTTAAAGCACCTAATTTGAAATTATATTATGATGCGGCCACTTTAACTTTAATAAGTGACTGGCTTAATTTAACAAATGAAACTATTCTTGCTCTTGAAGGTTGGGATTTATTATATGGTTGGCATGCATATTTAATTTTTGATAAGAAAGTAGATTGGGTTTTTGAGTCACATATTTTAAGAAATGCTTTACTTAAGTTTGGAAGAAGTATTATTGTAAGTTAAATTATAAAATGCCTATTTGGGGGATTCCTGGACAAGCAATTCAGGGGGTTTCTGATAATATTTGATAATATTTCTTATAAAGAGTTACTTATTTGGTTGGGTACTGATTGGCAACTAAAGTCTTCAGATGTGTTAAGGCAAGAAAATATTTTACAATCATGGTTTCAATATTTGCAAATAGTGCAGAGGTGGACTTTAGATAAGAAAGTGGAAATTACTTTAGCAGATAAAAATTTGGTAATTCAGATTAAAGATCAGAAATGTGCTCATATTAAAAGAATTTACAGTGAGTTAATAAAATTGGATTCGGAAACAGAGTTAGTAAAAAATTGTATGATTAAATGGGCCCAGAATATTCAGGAACCGATTTCATTGGATTTATGCGAGGTAATTTGGATTAGAAATGTTAAATTTATGCAGGCTCAAAATTTGAGGGAAAATTTTTATAAAATGTTTTATAGATGGCATCTGGATCCTAAAAAGTTGTCTTGTATGTACCCGAACCTGCAACCTAAATGTTGGAGATGTGGTTGCTTGTTTGTGGCCCCATCTGGATCTTCTCCTTCTTGCTCTCTGCAGCACACTTCATTCTTCACCAGACCAGAAGCTCTGGAAATTCACCTTTGCTTTACCAGCTTATTGTGAATGTCTTATTTTGTACACCTCTCATGGTTTTGTCTACTGTGACCCTCTGGATTCACATGAGGTCTAAATCGCAATGCAAACAAAGGAACCTCCTCACCACCATCTTGCTGGCTCTCCTCTTCTTCCTCCTTTTTTCTCTCCCAAGGTATGCCTCATATGTCATTTATTATTTCAGTTTCCCTCATCCTGTCCTCTTGACAATTGGACGAGGAAGTGCTACTCTCAAGAGCAGCATCAACCCACTCCTTTATTTCTTAGTGGGGAGGAAGCAGAGGGGAAAGAGTCAGCCCAGAACATCTTTGAAGGTGGCTCTTCAAATAGTCTTCAAGGATGAGCAGCAGGACAGCCTGGAGGAACAGCAAGTTGCAAAGGAAGAACTTTCGTGAAGTCTTACTATCACTGTACTCTCATGTTTGATAGCCATAAATAATATGTGCGTTCAATAAAAAACAAATTTATCGAACAAAGTAGCTAATGCCAAACAATAAAAAGGAAATATTACTATATTCATAATTTTCAAAGAGAAATGTTTGTATATCTTTTTTATTTCATCACATAGAATTACACCTCACTTCATGTAATTCTTTATTTCATAAAATGAAATGATATGTCTGACGTCATACAATTCTTCTTTATATGATAACAACTCCTATTAATGCATGTTTTTTATTTTTTGTCTCATTTTATGTATGTTTATTTCCTATATAATTGCAAAGGTTTTCTCCCTAAAGCACTTGATAGAAGAATATACAGCTTCGCTAAAACATACAAATTAGTATACATAATAAAAGGAAAGAGCAGAAAAATAAATATGTACAGGATACATTTTCTAAAATAAAATATGACAGTTCTGATCCTCACACATTTAGACATAGCATTCACAGATATTATAGCCTGGGGATTTGTCTCTGATCTTTCTCCTAAAGGTTGAAAAAAGGGCTAAAACCAGAAAAAAATTCAATTGAGAATTATGGGATTATCAGGATATAAATATGGAATATTTTAATATGAAATATCAAATACAGAAATACATAGCTACTAAAATAGCATTTGTTATTATATTTGCATTTCCCTGGGACAGATTAAGTGTTCCAAAATTGAGACACATCTGAAAGTAATAGACGAAGGTCTTCAAAATTGGAGAGTGGAAGATTATTGTCCTGATAATGAAGGTTGAATTGATGGCAATGGCAGACCTGTAGAAAAAATGTGATAAAGTTTTATTTAGATGAAGTTCAGAAGTTCATTGACAAGAAAGAAAGTCCAATTCTGGTCCACCAGAAATGGCATGGATGCACTTCGAGAGGGCCATTCTGGACCTTGGAGGCCTCCCTGGCTCAGAATGGACTTCCAAAAATGGCATCCATGCACTTCTGGTGGGCAGTTCTGAAGTTTTCTGTTCAGACTGTAACTTCCACGTCTATCAAATTCTACAGGCAACTCTTTGAACATTGTCACTCGTGATGGGTGAGTGGGCTTTCCTTCTTGTCAATGAACAGTCTGAACTTCATCTAAATAAGTATCACATTTTCTCAACAGATTTGGTATAGCCAATCACTTCAACCATTGGTGGGATTCAACCAGTTCGCACCGGTTCAGTAGAACTGGTAGCCAATTTTTTGTTGACTTCGACGAACTGGATGATGCCTTACCCCCTTTTCACAAGGCTCAGACGGACTGCTGGAAGTGCATGGATGCCACTTTTGGAAGTCCGTTCTGAGACGGGGATGGATTTCTTCCAATCTATCAAAAGGAAAAATTCCAATACATTGAATCTCTTCATGCAAAAGCTCAACTAACAGAAAACCAAACAGCTGTTACCAAACAATTGCAGCACCTTTAACCAACAGCATCCATGAATCTGAATGAAACACTGTTGAATCAAGGTTGAATCAGAAAAGGTTTTGCACAAATCTAGAGATGACGATTAGCCACTTAATACAGTATATATGGAGTCACTTAATGTTACGGTACAAAAATGAAAAGTCAAATATAATAGAACTTTGAATGGTCACTAAACAAATGGTTATAAGTCAAGGACTAGCTGTGTATACACACACACAGGCAAATATTTTATTATCAAATAGATTTCTCATTCAGACCATTTGAATGAGCCCGAACAAGTAAATTAAAAAGTTTCATTGACAGCTCAAGGACTATAAAAAGATTTTAAGAATAGAATAAAATAGAGTTGGAAGGGACCTTGGAGGTCTTCTGGTCCAGCACTGGCTTGAGCAGGAGATCCTATACAATCTCAGACAGGTGATTGTCTAGTCTCTCCTTAAAAATCTCCAGTGATGGAGCGCCCACAGTTTCTGAAGACAACTTCTTTTCCACTGGTTGATTGTCCTCACTGTCAGGAAGTTTCTCCTTAATTCCAGGTTGCTTCTCTCCTTGACCAGTTTCCAACCACTGTTTCTCATCCTTCCCTCTGGAGCTCTGTTGAACAACCTGACCCCCTCTGTCTTGTGGCAGCCTCTCAGATACTGGAACACTGCTATCCTGTCTCCCTTATTTCTTTTTTTCTTTAGACTAGCCAAACCCAAGTCCCATAGCCATTCTTCTTGACCATCTGAGTTGCTCTTCTCTGATTTTTTTCCAAACTCTCAAGATCTTGTTTGTGATATGGGGACCAAAATTGGCTGCAGTATTCCAGATGTGGTCTTACTAGGGCTTTGTAAAGCAGTAACAATACTTCACGTGATCTTGAGTCTATGCCTCTGTTTATATAACAGAGGAACGGGGAAAATTGTTCTCCAGACCATATTTCTTTTCAGAAGCTATAATTAAATAGACCATTAGCCAACTGATGGAGGAAACCCAAGAGGAAAACTTCAATGACAGTTGGATTTCTCAGCTGATAAATGGGACTTTGACCACTGAGGAAGGGATCCAGCTGATCACAGTCATTCAAGTGTGCAGTCTGTTCTTTTGTTTTGATACTATTTTCCCTTTAAGGTTTATTTCCCCTCTTTGGTCATTAGAAATATAAGGATGGGGATGGTGAAACTTAACCTCTCTTCCTGGGGATGCCTTTCTGGCCATGCTCCTTCAGAGCACGTAGCAAAGGGCTTGAGTTCAAATCCTGTTGTCAGAATCCTTCCACTGACTTCCCATGGCCTGGTATAACAACACCCAGGGAATCATCAGAAGGTGCAAAGCCTCTGGAGCAATTATGGTTTAGCAATTCCTAAACTGTGTGGTGTTGGGTCCCGTATCCCCTTCTTCCGAATTGTTTCTGACATAGAAGTTGGTGCAGAGGAAAGATCACCTGATGTCATTTGTTCTTTCTCCATTCTGTGACTATTATGTACAACTTCATATTAGTTTTCTTTCGAATATTTTATTAAGTTTTTTCAGGATAGGGAAAGACAAGGATCGTTATGGGTGGTGGGAATCGGGATAGGGTTCAGGGAAGAGTTTGGGGTAGGGATGGATACAACAATAGGGTTACCCCCAATAACATTTCACGCTTTAGCAAGCAAACTATCTTCCGGATATAGGTATTCAAGCGGGCTAATATAATATTCAGGAACTGTAGTCAACAAGAATAATAATAACAATTCTGGCTTAAATTCTATATGTATTTTAATCATCTTTTCCAGCCATATATGAATTTTAACTTGTTAATTATGGTTTAAAGCTGGAACAGAGGCCACTTCCTCTGGAGAGGAAAGAATCCTTTATTATACTTCATTTCTATAACAAGAAATACAGCTATGCACTCATAAGAGATAACCAGCATTAAAGAACAGCAGAAGTTTTGCATTTACAGAGAGTTTGAAATTGTGTTTATAAACTTTTATCAGATTTCAGGAGCTTCATCTTCTCTGAAGACTCTTTGAAAAATGACCTTGATGCTCTCCCTAGAGCGAGCTTTTTTCTTTCTCCCAACCAGAAAATAGATCACTGGGTTAACGCTGCTGTTTAGAGGAGCAGAAAGACTAAAGATGAGCGCTAATTGAATACTATCAAGCAAATACCACTTCCGAATAAAATGAATAACTAACACATAGATATAAAATGGGAATGCAAGAATAAGAAAACAAAGAAGAGTAATTAAAGTCATCACTAAGATTCTTCCACGTTTGAGCTGTTTTGATTTAAGACATATTTTGATGAATAGGATCACAGTAGAGATTGTGATCAACAGAAAGCAAAGCACAGCAGTCACGATCAAGCAGATATCATAAGGGATATAAGAAACAATTAAAATATTCCAATTGCCGCTAATTCCAGTCAGGAGGAAAGATAAGATCCAGAGGAAGGTGCAGACAGCAGGGGACAAATATTTTGGCCGGGAACAGCGATGCCAGATTGGGAAAAGGACAGCCACGCACCGGTCAATGCTGATGGCTGTCAGAAGAAACAGACCGTTCATATATGTAACATTTAAGAGAGAACAGAAGATAATCTGGAGAGTTTCTGACTGTATAAAACCTATAAAAATGTCAATACACAATATAGTCATAAAGATGAGAAACCCAAAGTCGGCAATAGCTAAATTAAGAATCAATACTGTGAAAGGGTTTCTCTTAATTTGGAAGCCAAGCAGCCAGATAACAATTCCATTTAATGGGGCTCCAATACTGCAGATGATCAATACAACAGAGAAAATGATAGTTTTTTCTTCATGGGAAATTCTGCTATAAATATAGTTCAAATAATCTGCTGTACCATTCATGTTTGCCAGGCTGAAATTCCCCAAAGATGCTTTTGTAATGCTTCAATAATCTCTTCCTTTAGAGTGGAAATTTCTGTTTGGGAAAAAAAAACAGATTGGATTAAATAATTCATCAATTATTGTCATTCTTCATATCTAAACACTTTTGTGTACAGGCTGGGCCAACCTTTTGACTTCTGCTAATGATAATAGCAATAGGTGCCTTAGTGCAATTCCAAAATAACTGAAACACCACTTCAATGACATTGGCACTGACAAATTTGCAGTCTCTCAATTGCAAAAGGCAGCTTGACTCAGAACAACTTGTATCCTACGATAATACCTTTAGCACCATCAAACATCAACATCTGCTATCCCAGGTCGTTGGAAAGGACTCAATTAATTGATTTGGGCTCTCTTTGACAAAACATAGTAATAACATAACAGGAAGACTTATTGAATAGTGGAGAGACCACACTGGCCCACAATAACAGATGAAGAACAGAAAAGAGGCAGGGCAATAAAAGCACTAAATGGTCAGTACATTTAAAAATAAAATAGTAGGCAAAGCAGATAATAACAAGGCCAGGCAATGGCTAAGAACAGGAAATTTGAGGAAAGTGATAGAAGGACTAATTCTGGCTGCATGAAATCAAGCCTTAGGAATAAATACTCGCAAAGCCAGAATTGAGAAGACAACGACAGACAGTAAGTGCTATCTTTGCCAAAGAGGCTGAAGGAACAGTGGATTAATGTTTGAAGACAGCACAGACCAGTTGCAATGGATGGACGCCATCAAAGCTGAAACCAGCCAGAGCATAGAAAAACCCAAAGACATAGTGGAGAGACCCAGGCCATCAAATCGCCAAGACTCGGACACAAGTGAAGGGATAACATCATCCTCAATATTAGCCAGAGGCACTAATTCTGGCTGCTCAAGATCAAGCCATAAAAAGAAATGTCTGCAAATCCAGCACTGAGAAGTCAGCAACAGACAGCAAGTGCTGCCTCTGTTAAGAAGCTGAAGGAACCATGGGTCACCAGGTTAGCTGCTGCAAAAAGGTTGCACAAAGACCTGCAAACAGAAATTGAATGACTGCGGCAAAAGAAAGCAAAGGTAACATCAATAGCAATAGACACTTTGGGTTCAATCCAAAAACCAGTGACAAGCTGACTATAGACCCTGGAGACGTTTGTCCGTCCCCAGGGTCCGGAATTCTTTCACTGGTGGGCCCATCAGGGCTGAATGCCACCCTGGAGGGGTGACCACCAAAGGGTGAGCCTTTGAGGAAGGAGAGCCGGTGGTAGCTGGCTCTCTGAACTCAAAACCGCCCCTGGAACCGGCAAAAGAAGGGCAGAGTGCTTCTGCGATCACTGCCATCACCAGCTGATCATTGGAGACAGAAGACAGCTGATTGAGAACAAGCAACTGCTCCGGGTGAGATAACCTCAGTATTTATGGCAAACTGGAGCTTTTGAAATTAATTGCCTGCCTTTGAGCTGAAGCTAGAAGCTCAAGGGAGGGAGAAGGGGTTTTTGATTCCCCCCTCCTCTAAAGTGGCGGTTTAAGCTTTATTATAAAATGTTTGAACTCTTTTTCAATGGAATTAAAGTGGAAGATCTTACTATCTTTTTCTACAAAAGACTCATATTAAGAGACAACACTCTAGAATTTTAGAACAGCCAAAACTAGCAAACTTTATTTCTCCTTGGCACTACAAAAGAAAAGAGGGATAGTGATGTATATAAAAGAAAAGTTGAATCCAAAAGAAATTTATTCTGAGGAGGAAGGAAGAATAGTAATGGTGGAGATTTCATGGAATCAAAAACAAATATTGTTGGTGGGAATATAGGCCCCCAGTGAGAAGCAAGAGCAATTTTTTCAACAACTATACAACAAACTTGTGGATTTAAACTATCACAGTCTTTGTATTTTGGGAGACTTTAATGCAATTGTGCATGTAGTTCGAGACTACAAAAGCCATAAACAAGGGAAGAAAGGAAGTAATGTTTTATCTAAATCTTGTTTAAAAATGAAAGATGAACTATGTTTGCAGGATATATGGCGAGAGATGAATCCAGGAAAGACACAATATACCTTTTACTCCAACAGGCATAAATTTTGGTCAAGAATAGACAAGATATGGATCTCCCATGACCTGAAGACTATGATACAGGAAGTTGAAATAGAACCAAATATTTGGGCAGACCATAACTTAATTAAAATGACATGGAAAGGATCTAAGAAAAGATTGAGATGGTCTCTGAATAAATCTGTTTTGAAGGAAAAAGAATTTTTACAAGTAGCAACAAAAGAAATGGATTTTTTTAAGATTAATAAAAAGGAAGATACTTCTATTCAAAATGTTTGGGACATGGCAAAAGCATACTTTAGAGGCTTAGCTATAACCTATGTTGCTAAAAGGAACAAAGAAAAGAGAATCACACAGTTCAAATTGAAAAAACAGCTTGGTATATTGGAGCTGGAGTTACAAACTGAGGCACAAAAGAAAAATTTGAAGATACAAATGGACTTAATAAAACATAAATTAAATCTACTTGAGACTATGGCACAACAGATTAAACAAGCCAAACAGAACTTTTTTGAAAATGCTAATAAACCTGGTAGATGGCTTGCATACAGACCAAAATGGCTTTCTTCCTAAAATACAGATAAAGAACAACTTAAGGATTATTTTAAATATTTTGGAATATTATGAAAATCATCCAGGGAACCAGATGGCACTCATATTTCTTGATGCACAAAAAGCATTTGATAATTTAAATTGGCAATTTATGTCTCAACAACTACAGGAAATGGACTTTGGTGAAAACTTTATTAAAGCAATCCAAGTGATCTACAAGAAACAATCAGCAAGGATACTTATAAATGGAGATTATACAGAGAGCTTTGATATTAAAAAGGGTACAAGACAGGGATGTCCACTCTCACCCCTGTTATTTATTTTTACTCTGGAGGTATTGACTAGAAACATCAGGCAAGACATAGAAATTAAAGGTCTTGAGATTAAAGACCAGAAATATAAATTACAAGCTTTTGTGGACGATGTGGTCTTTATCTTAGAGGAGCCTTTGGAAACAGCCCCTAAATTTTTGCAGAAAATTGAGAAATTTGGAGATTTGGCTGGATTGAAAATAAATAGGGAAAAAAAAACTAAAGTGTTAACAAAAAATTTAACTGATAAACAGAAAACTCAACTCACCAAAAAGACAAGTCTTAACTAAATAGTTAAAAAAGTTAAATATTTAGGAATCTATCTTACGGCGAAATATTCATTACTAAAAGAAGATAACTGTGAGAGACTATTAAAACAAATAAAATCGACCTGGAAAAATAGGAAAATCTCCAACTATCATTGTTAGGAAGAATAGCGACTGTTAAAATGAACATTTTGCCAAAGCTATTTTTTTTTTTTTATTTCAAACAGTTCCTGTAAAACTGGGTAAGAAATTTTTTGATGATTTAAACGCAATAATATTAAGATTTATATAGCAAAAAAAGAAAGAAAGAATTAAATGTAAACTTCTACAAGACTCGAAATATAGAGGGGGTTTTGGACTTCCGGATTGGAAACTTTATTATCAAGCAGTATTTTGCTTTGGCTTAAAGAATGGATTACTCTGAGAAATAAGTGAATTCTCTATTTAGAGGGATATGACCTTCAAATAGGCTGGCATGCCTATGGTATGAGAAAGCTAAAATACATAAGTACTTTCAAAACCATGCTATAAGAAATGTTTTACTCTCTGAATGGGAGAAAGTTAGACACAAAATGTATATGAAAAGTCCTGAGTGGCTTTCAACAATGGAAGCATTTGCTTATCCAAATTTGATTAATTATGATAAACTTGTTAGTTATAAAGACATTTTGGACAAGGACAGAACACTCAAAGACGGGCAAGTCCTTCAACAACAAGGTATTAACTTAACATGGTGATCCTATTTGCAAATTCAAACAAGATATGAAAAAGACATAAAAATAATGGGATTTTACAAAAGCTGACTCCACTTGATAAAATACTTTTAAAAACAGATGAACATTGGATTAAGAAGCTTTATAAATACTTATTAAATTGGAAGATGGAAGAAGAACAAGTAAAAGAGACAATGGTAGTATGGGCGAAGAATTTTGGATATTCTATAGAATTAGAAGACTGGCAAAAACTGTGGGATAAAATTATCAAACTTACTAAAGCAGTAACATACAAAGAAAACTTATATAAAATGTTTTATAGATGGCATATGACACCAGTTCGCTTAGCGAAAATGTTTAAAAAATTATCGATACATGTTGGAAATGTAAACAAAAACTGGGTACTTATTATCATGCCTGGTGGACATGTTCTATTGCAAAAAGATATTGGTCTAAGATTCATAGATGGTTAGAACAGATGATGAAAATACAGATAGAATTCAAACTAGAACTGTTCCTGTTAGGTAGATTAAGACCTAACTATGGCAAAGCAAATGATTATTTAAAATTACATGTGTTAAGAGCTGCAAGAATAGTATTTGCCCAATTTTGGAAAAATGAAAACCTACCATCAGATCTGATTATAATTTTGAAAATCCAGAATTGTGCAGAAATTGACAGATTAACATTAGAAATGAAGGAGAAAGAAGATTCAATCTTTTATAAAACCTGGGGAAAATTTTATCAGTGGGTTGAAACTCGTTAGAATAAAAAGAGGTTTTAGAGCTTTATTATATTAAGTATTGAGGTTGATGATTGGAAATAGTTGTTATGCTATAAGCTATGTTAATTATTTAAAAGAATATTAGTGTTTTACTAAATGTCAGTTGTAATTATACCAATTTCTTCTTATAAATGTCTAGTATTAAATAAACAATAATACTCAATATGAAGACCCGGACGGCAACTTGTTCGCTGAATTATGCATTT